TCGAGGTCTTGAAGAAATTCTTTAATGAAACCAATTTAGCGCCTCTTAGGGTGTTCAATAGGGCGAATAATCCACCTTTCGATTTCGTTTTCTTTCTGTAAAGTTGTTGTTGACTTTTACACGAAGGCAATACGAAAATTTTCAAATTGGTTTACCTGGAACTGCCAAGAACATATCGTCAGCGCACCAGAAGTGGGACTCAGGTAGACTCCAGTAGCCTCTTGAGCGTTGTATTTTGTATATGACTTGTCATGGCTAACCTTGTTGGCTGACTGAACATCACCCCGTTGACATGTGTACTGTACCTTCTGGTGTACTGTACCTTGTGGTGTGCTGTACCTTCTGGTGTACTGTACCTTGTGGTGTACTGTACCTTCTGGTGTACTGTACCTTGTGGTGTGCTGTACCTTGTGGTGTACTGTACCTTGTGGTGTGCTGTACCTTGTGGTGTACTGTACCTTGTGGTGTGCTGTACCTTGTGGAGTACTGTACTTTGTGGTGTACTGTACCTTGTGGTGTACTGTACCTTGTGGTGTGCTGTACCTTGTGGAGTACTGTACCTTGTGGTGTGCTGTACCTTCTGGTGTACTGTACCTTGTGGTGTGTTGTACCTTGTGGTGTACTGTGCCTTGGTTGTGCTGTACCTTGTGGTGTGCTGCTGTGCCTTGTGGTGTGCTGTACCTTGTGGTGTGCTGTACCTTGTGGTGTACTGTACCTTGTGGTGTACTGTGCCTTGTGGTGTACTGTACCTTGTGGTGTGCTGTACCTGTGGTGTGCCTGTACCTTGTGGTGTCTTTGTATTACTGTGCCTTGTGGTGTGCTGTGGTGTACTGTGTGTGTACCTTGTGGTGTGCTGTACCTTGTGGTGTACTGTGTGTGGTGTACTGTGTGGTGTGCTGTACCTTGTAGTGTACTGTACCTTGTGGTGTGCTGTACATGTGGTGTACTGTACCTTGTGGTGTGCTGTACCTTGTGGTGTACTGTATCTTGTGGAGTACTGTACCTTGTGGTGTACTGTACCTTGTGGTGTGCTGTACCTTGTGGTGTACTGTACCTTGTGGAGTACTGTACCTTGTGGTGTGCTGTACCTTGTGGTGTACTGTACCTTGTGGTGTACTGTACCTTGTGGTGTACTGTACCTTGTGGTGTACTGTACCTTGTGGTGTACTGTACCTTGTGTGGCTGTACCTTGTGGTGTGCTGTACCTTGTGCTGTAAAATTGTACCTTGGTGTACTGTACTCTGGTGTACTGTACACCTTGTGGTGTGTGTACCTTGTGGTGTACCTGTGGTGTACCCCTGTGTGTGCTGTACCTGGTGTACTGTACTCTTGTGGTGTGCTGTACTTGTGGTACGTACCTTGTGGTGTGCTGTACCTCAGTGGTGTACTGTACCTGTGGTGTGCTGTGGTGTGCTGTACCTTGTGTACTGTACCTTGTGGTGTGCTGTACCTTGTGGTGTACTGTACCTACCCTGTACTGGTGTACTGTTTGTGGTGTACTGACCTTGTGGTGTACTGCTGTACCCAGGTACCTGCATTCTGGGTGTACTGTACCTGCAGGTACTCTCAAGGGTGTACTGTACCTTGTGGTACCTTGTGGTGCTGTACCTTGTGGTGTGCTGTACCTGTACCCACTGGTGTGTACAGGTGTGTACCTTGTGGTGTACTGTACCTTGTGGTGTGTTTGTACTCACCTTGGTGTACTGTACCTTGTGGTGTACTGTACTTGTGTGACCTTGTGGTACTGTACCTTGTGGTGCGTGCTGTACCTTGTGGTGTGCTGTGACCTTGTGGTGTACACCCTGTGTGGTGCACCTACTGGTGTACTTGTGGTGTGCTGTACACCTTGTGTACTGTACCTTGTGGTGTACTGTACCTTGTGGTGTGCTGTACCTTGTGGTGTAATTGCACTTGTGGTGTACTTGTGGTGTACTGTACTTGTGGTGTACTTTGTGGTGTGCTGTACCTTGTGGTGTGCTGTGTACTGTACTGTGGTGTGTGTGTGTACTGTACCTGTGGTGTACTGTATACTGTGTGTGTACTGTACCTTGTGGTGTGCTGTACCTTGTGGTGTACTGCCACTGTACCACTGGTGTGTGCTGCACCTGTACCTGTGGTGTACTCAGGTGTACTGCTTGTGGTGTACTGCCTTGTGTACTGTACTTGTGGTGTGCTGTACCTTGTGGTGTACTGTACCTGTACTGCACCCACCTTGTGGTGTGCTCCTTGTGGTGTACTGCACCTGTGTGGTGTACCCCTGCACCTTGTGGTGTGCTGCACCTTGTGGTACTGTACTTGTGTGTACCTGTGGTGTACTGCACCCTTGTGGTGTACTGTACCTTGCACTGCCTTGTGTGTACTTACTCCTCAGTGGTGTACTGTACTGTACCTTCTGTACCTTGTGGTGTGCTGCTGTACCTCTGTACCTGTACTTGTGGTACCTGTGTGTGTACTGTACCTCACCTTGTGGTGTGCTGTACCTTGTACCTGTGGTGTACTGTACTTGTGTGCTGTACCTTGTGGTACTGTACCTTGTGGTGTACTGTACCTTGTGGTGTACTTGTGGTGTACACCTTGTGGTGTGTGTGTACCTTGTGGTGTACCTTGTGGTGTACTGTACCTTGTGGTGTACTGTACCTTGTGGTGTGTGTACCTTGCTGTACCTGTACCTTGTGGGTGTGTGGTGTACTGTACCTTGTGGTGTACTGTGTGGTGTGCTTGTGGTGTACTGTACCTTGTGGTGGTGTGGTGTACTGTACCTTGTGGTGTGTACCTTGTGGTGTACTGTACCTTGGTGTGTGTACCTGTACCTTGTGATGTGTGTACTGTACTGCTTGTGGTGTGTGCACCTTGTGGTGTACTGTACCTTGTGTGTGTGTGTACCTTGTGGTGTACTGTACCTTGTGGTGTACTGTGGTGTACTGTGCTTGTGGTGTGCTGTACCTTGTGGGTGTACTGTACCTTGTGGTGTGCTGTACCTTGTGGTGTACTGTATCTTGTGGAGTACTGTACCTTGTGGTGTACTGTACCTTGTGGTGTGCTGTACCTTGTGGTGTACTGTACCTTGTGGAGTACTGTACCTTGTGGTGTGCTGTACCTTGTGGTGTACTGTACCTTGTGGTGTACTGTACCTTGTGGTGTACTGTACCTTGTGGTGTACTGTACCTTGTGGTGTACTGTAACTCATCATGACGGTTTCGGGGATGTATGTACCTGTATAGGGAATGTACTGTACCTCCTAATAGTCAGGTAATCTTTATGGTAGCTTCAGGCAGTACGATAGTAAAAAAAAAATGTCTTTGCATCTGAAGAGGCTGCCAACTTCTTCGGCATTTGTAGATCACATCATCATTAAAAGTCTTCTGACCAGTTTTGTGGGTGTGATGAAAATCTAGACGAAATAAAGTGCTACTACTACTACTACTACTACTACAACTACTACTTTTTTCTATTTGAAAAAGGCCTCCAGCCTCCCCCAATAGCCACATCTTCGCCACCATTTTATTACCTTAATATTAAATATCCTAATACATAAGTAGCTATCCTAGCTGTGTTGAGTTAGTTGAGCCGCAGATCTATGCGGCATTCAGTGACTGTTGCCTCAAAGTCAATATCTGCAACTGTTATCGGCTTTGGGGCCGATGCTCTCGTTTTCCTGAGGCAGAGCAAAGCCGACCTAAGGAGAGAGAAGGACAGTCGACATCTCATCCAGGCTGTAACATAACTTCTGGGCTGCTGCTTTTGTTCGGAGGTCACCTCCGCGAGTCTGGCGTAGAAGCAACTTGCACTTGGTCCCATCCCACCAGAGGTGCTACTACAACTACTACTACTATTATAATCAGTGCTACTACTACTACTACTACTACTACAACTGGAACTGCATATGGCACACAACTCCCTGTGTCCGCCCTGCGTCACATATTTCCCAGTTCCCGCCCTGCGTCACACACCTCCCAGTCCTCGTCCTCCATCATACATCTCCCTGTCTCTGTCCTGCGTCACACACCTCCCTGTCTCTGTCCTGCGTCACACACCTCCCTGGGCAACCTTTGTGCAAGAGACGCCATCATGAACCTCCACGACACAATAATATTTTACCTAACACTGATACAACACACACCAAACTTCTCAAATTCTGTTATTGTTATTTACTTAAAAGAACAAAATATAGTCCGCCTGACCCAAATAGATAGATAAAAATAAAATTATATATTGTAGCCGGTATGTTGTGAGGCAGAATGACATAAACATTGTGTTCCTTCCTGCTGTGGTAGAGAGAGAAGTAGCCGCGGGAGGGAAGGGACAACGCGTATAGCCTAGTGTAGTTGATGACGTGGAGCGAGGCAGAATAATACACCATCGTTCCTCCCTGCTGCGGTAGAGTGGAGGGGTGAGGGAGAACACCAACCCTTACCTTAGTTTATCTTAGTTTACGTGAGCTGGGTAGTTAGTGTGTTTTCTCAGGTGTAATAAACTCGTCTCATTGTGTTTATTCCCCAAGGACACAGGTACAGAAAGACAGTTATATATTCCACCCAAGTTAGAACGTTATGGCACCTGTCATCAACCAGCACTATGGAGGGGTTGAGAGACTCGCTCATAGCAGGCAAGTGACAAACACGGACCTTCATATTATAGTGTACACAGTTACATGACCACAGTGGATATAGATGAATGGATGGCTTGTCTCGTGTGTTACAGAGGGCCTAGTGTGTTGATGCTAGTGACCCTCCCCTTTCTGTGCTATAACATGACCTCGGACCTGAAGTATCTATACGGGTGTGTAGTCAACATAACACAGCTTAATTCGTAAAGATTTTGGTGCGTATTTTGTGCTGATGAATCGTAAAATGTGAAGTTTTTTTTTTTTTTTTTTTCAAGCAATTCGTGAAGAGTTCGATACAATTTGAGGTTTCTTGGTACAGATAGTGGGAGTTTGAGGCTTATAGGTACTAGTAATAGGAATTATAGACTTATAGGTATAGGTAGTGGATACTTACAGGTATAAGTGATGCTCCGTATATATCACCTGTGTGGCTGGCTGGGGTGGTCACAGGGTCGCTCGTCACACCTGTGTAGAATAGAGCTGTTATTGCCTCCTGTCTTGACTATTAGTGTGTTAGTATTTACATTGTTGTATATCATAGTTCTTCATACACTTAAACTTTGATACACTTACAGCAAAACCTTGATTCACTTACGATAAACCTTCACGGACTCACAATATACCTTGATGCACTCATAATAAACCCTGATACACTCAAGTACACATTTAACACTTACAGCATTACCTGGCCACATTTACAACATAATCTGGCCACATTTACAACATTACCTGGCCACATTTACAACATTACCTGGCCACATTTACAATTTTACCTGGCCACTTACAATATTACCTGGCCACTTACAATATTACCTGGCCACATTTACAACATTACCTGGCCACATTTACAACTTTACCTGGCCACTTACAATATTACCTGGCCACACTTACAACATCCCTGGCCACCCACTATCACTCATTATACCGTATCTCGCACCCTAAACTCTTGCTTAAAACATTAATGAAAAGGAAACAAGACTCATTATTTATTCTAACGTGTGTATTGATACCTATCGTAAAATAATTATAAAAAAAAATGAAATATAGAATTACTTCAAATAAAAAAAAAATCGCAAGAGAATAACTCCCCCGACTGTCCAGAGATAAACAGAGGAACAGGAGGAACAGCAGGAACAGCTTTAAGGACAGTGTGTACAGACAGAGAGGAACAGCGGATCCAAGAACACCATCGCTAGCGTGGGGGAATCTAAGGTAATTCCACTACGAGAGGTCATGGACTAGTATCTTACCTACTATACAATATATTACCACAGATCATTATAAAACCAGTTCGGTGTGGCAGATATCCTATACGTTGTTTCATTTAAGTGCTAAGTATCAGGTGATAAATTATCCATCACCATCACTTATATGACTATAATAAGGGTGCCACCACTCCTACCAGCTAAGCTAATAAATACTCTAAATGTATTTCTTTACGGGTCAGCACTGCATTCCTAAATTGGTGAGGAAAGTGTGCAAATGTCAGGTAACTCCAGCTTCCAGAATAGCATCAGGAGGGATGGGACAGGATGACACAAGAGGAATGGTGCACCTGCCGACGTCATCATGGTGCACCTGCCGACGTCATCATGGTGCACCTGCCGACGTCATCATCCCCAGTCTAATAATAGTGGCGTAATAACAGCGCCATCACTTTTAATTGGAGCAGTAGCAGCAGCAGCCCCCTGTCGTATTAACTGCACGGCGATAATGGGGCCATTTATCGCCCTACCTACAGTAGTATTAGTGGTCATGCAGATACGAGTATAGTCAAAAGGTATGGTAGTGTTATTAGTACTTCCAGCACACTCAGTAATAAAGTCACCCACACGAACGTTATCCTAGCCACCATCATCACCACCAGCAGCAGTATGAAGTACACAAGGAAAGTAATGAAAATAATGCCATAAACAAAATCGTGACGAACAGTAAGGACACCACAGCACTTCAGGAAAGAATATCGTGAGTATCTTGTACTATTTTGCATCAAGTAGTAATACCAAGTACATTACTAACAGAAAAATTCGTAACATAACATTAAGCTCAGTAAAAGAACTATTACAACTTCCATAGAAAGTTTACAGTATCGGTGTCATTAACAACAGAAGGAATTGTAGTCCCTCCTCCCCTGTCCCACCCTCCTGTCCCACCCCAGTCATTCCCCATGTTCCACCCCCCTGTCCCACCCGTCATTCCCCGAGTCCCACCCGCGTCCCCTCCTCTACCCAGTTCCCCTGCCAGCCAGTATTCCAGGAGGCCACAGAGAGCCAGGGGAGGACTGGGTGGTACGCCCCACTGCTCCAGATCGATACTTGAGGACCAGCGTTTCAAAGGATTAGCGTTATTTTGTGTCTTATTGTAGTTCTTCTCTCATATGTGTTCAGCATCAAGGTTTCTGGATCTTGAGTTGAGTATTGACATTGTGCCGGGTAATGATATGCTGTCGGAGAATACTATTGTGATTAAAGAGGGTGGAAGGTCTTACAAAAGAACCCCCCCAAAAATAATACCAGTAAAGGCGTGTACTATGAGAGACTGAAAGTTCTTATTGTGTGTTATGTCCGAGTCCTGTGTGTTATGTCCGAGTCCTGTGTGTTATGTCCGAGTCCTGTGTGTTATGTCCGAGTCCTGTGTGTTATGTCCGAGTCCTGTGTGTTATGTCCGAGTCCTGTGTGTTATGTCCGAGTCCTGTGTGTTATGTCCGAGTCCTGTGTGTTATGTCCGAGTCCTGTGTGTTATGTCCGAGTCCTGTGTGTTATTCATCTTGAACCTTTGTGGCCGCATTCCCATCTCTCTCTCTCTCTCTCTCTCTCTCTCTCTCTCTCTCCCTCTCTCTCTCTTTCTCTTTTTTCCATTGACATTTCTCTTTCTAGTTGTTATACGTAGGAAAACGATTATTCTCTTGTAAATACACTCGTCAGCCAAACACCCTCAGAGAAGTAAGTGTTTCGTGGCCAGGAAGTTGGGAATACACACACCCGTCAGTGAGCCCCAACAGACTGTGTATAACGCGGTCAGTGGAGCATACGAGACTGTCATTACCAGTACTTCCCAGGTTATATATAAACTGAAAAAAACCACACAATAATTTATAGAATGAAATACTACAATAGTCTAAAATTAATGACGGTGATTTCAACCTAACTAATTGAATTTGTTTCGATAAATTTTTGAATTATTATCGGTAAAAAGGTTTGGTTAATGGTATTAGTAGAGAGTTAATAAAAGGATAGACATGTTATGAGGGGAAAGTATTAATATTAAAGTGAGATGGTGTATTAGGGTAGAGTGGAGAGACGACGTGTTAATCTAGATAGGTTTTAAGCACTGAGTGGTCGGGGTTTCTTTCATCTGAAATAAAATCGTGTGGCGTTAGGCAGAATAAAATATGACATTATAGAGTGTCAGTAAAGTATCAGTAGAGTGTCAGTGATGGGTGGAAGGTGGATAATTGGTGGAGGATAGGTTGAGGTAAGTGAGGGGAGGTGGAAGGCGAGTGGGTCGTAGGTGAGGGTTGGTGGAAGGTGAGTGGGTCGTAGGTGAGGGTTGGTGGAAGGTGAGTAGGTCGTAGGTGAGGGTAGGTGGAAGGGGAGTGGGTCGTAGGTGAGGATAGGTGGAAGGTGAGTGGGTCATAGGTGAGGGCAGGTGGAAGGTGAGTGGGTCGTAGGTGAGGTAGGTGGAAGGTGAGTGGGTCGTAGGTGAGGGTAGGTGGAAGGCGAGTGGGTCGTAGGTGAGGGTAGGTGGAAGGTGAGTGGGTCGTAGATGGAGGATTTAGTGGATGGGTGGGTGATTGCAGGTTGAATGAATAGAAATTAATTGAATTTTGCCGCACACAACGACTAGTTTATTGTGCACCCCATAGTCATCCTGTGAGGTGTAACCCATAACACAACCGACTGCTAAAACTATATAACATTACCTTATTCCTCTTTACTACAAATTCGTACCAACGTCTCCACGAAGAAACACAAATAACATTTCACAAGGACACACTTGGTGGATTACACACACACATGTTGTTAGAGCTAAATGGGAAATGCAAATTTGGTGCCACTGTGTTTACAATATGGCGTCTCTGTCCACTCGACGGCAGTGAAAAATAAGAAAGGACTGTAGATGCTTCCTTACAATACGTACAGTTGTTTTAAATACGATTTAAACATCTTATTTATTGGAATGGTACATCAAGTGAGTGTTTGCATCATATTTAACTAGTGTGATACGATAACCCCTCACTCTCTTCTTGTCAGCTGACGGAGTGGGGGACGAAATAAACGAAGGGAGAATTTTCACCCGATAGTGCACATACCGATTTTGGTATTAGTACCCGATTTTCTTACTGACAAATCGATCTTCTTGATTACGAGAATTGAGTGCAAATGTTTACACCATTACTGGAACCCGAGATTTCAACACTATTTTAAAATGTTATAAGAATTTTGCACTGACAAAACTTGGGTGCAAATAACAGTTTCACTATTTCTTAAACAAACCATTAGGTAAAGTTAGGTTGGTTAGGTCACAGATGTCAAACTAAGTTCTTTCTGTTTAATATGGCAGGAGGTCCGGCTAGGGAGTTGGGTAGGGTTAGGCCAGGTTAGGTTCTGTACCAGATATCAAGGTATATGGTAATTAGTAGATAATGTATATTATTTTAATTTTCACATTTCCATTGTAAACATTAATGACGAATGCATAATAAAGTTTGCGAAAATACTCTGCACACGATGTTAGATATAAACTAGGTTACCCCATATTTACTTGTAATTCGTATTTGATTATAGTTAGTATTTAACTTTTCATTCTTAGTGATTGATTGATTGGTGTGTATTACTAATTGGTTGATGTGGACTTTATGTGACTGTTCTGTTGTGTTTATTGTTGGTTGTGTGATGGAGCGCCACTTAGCTGAGCTTGTTGTCTATTTTGTTTCTACGTCAGGATCGCAAAGTATATTAGAGAGAGCAACAACGCTTGTGTCATTGTCTGAGCCTCTTGTATCATATTTCGTTGTTATCCACCAAAATGAACACTGTAATATCAACACATGATACCCTTAATGACGAGATTCGGTTTCAAATAACGATTTTGTGATGTTCAAGTGCCTTGGGGACATATTGTAAATTAGATTTTAAAATCATATTTTTTGGCATCGCATCAAACAATCCTAACCTAAACAAAATTAACCAATTTGGTTTAATAAACTTTAATTAGGTGGACCAGGTCAGGTTTGGTTGGTTCGGTAGTCGTCATTAATAGTTAAATCTCGGACAGTACAAGGCTGAATAATTTTTAACACAAAATCAATATACTTAAACCTAACTTAATCTAACTTTTGCTGACTGTTGTTACGACCGTGTCGTATTTTTTCTATTTTTTTATATATATCATGCTCCCATGTTCCATATTATTCCTGTAATGATGTGTTAAATTTACTATTATATATTTTAGTCACCTTACCC